TTCTGGCTGTCGTGACTGAGGTTTTCTATGGTTTTCTTTGGTCCCTCAAGACATATGCCAGGATAGTACCTTAGATTATACCGTAACTGCTTCCTTTCATTCCCTTTTCAATTAATTATTAATGATTCTATCATTCGATGCTATATATAGTCTGATCTGCTGCTGGCAATGTTAAATAAATATACCACTGACTATGATTGATGAGTGATAATATGTCTATGTATGTATATATATATTTCCTGGTCACTGTGGCTGCATGATCTGAGGCGTGGGCCTCATGCTCTTGGACACTGAGACCACGGGTTCAAATCCCACTCTAGGCACGGATGTTTGTCCGTGTCTTTCTTTGTTGTGCTGTCCAGTGTACAGGTAGAGGCCTTTTGACGGGCTGATCACTCGTCCAAGGAGTCTACCAAATGTCTAAATAGATTGTGTAAACTTCAAAAAAGGTGGCCAAGACCCATACAGGGTTATAGAGCTCAGCCAAGAATTGTCTGTCCTGCCTCAGATTGTTTATGGTTTTCTTGTGTCCCTCCTGATTGTTCATTTGTAATTCGATCACTTCTCATTTAGTACTACATAATTTCTACAATACATATAGCGTTTGTAAATAACTGAATCAGTCAACAAACATTTGATATGCTCCCTAGATTTTTTTTGTTCTATATAGTACATATAAGTGTATTAGTCTGTTTGGTGCATCATAATTACAGCAAATGTATTTCTTAGTACACCATTTGTAATAATAAGTCAAGTACTAAAATTAACATTAACATAAATGTTTGTAGTTGTATTGATCCGTTATGCGTATATGTTTAGGGTGGCAATAGTGGTGGTATCCAGTTTGTGGGAGTGCAGAGGCCACGAGGTCTTTTAACAGCTAATCAACTGTCAACAGCAGGAAATAAACAGACACTGACTGCACGACAGATTGTCAGTACTCAGAGACACACTCTCAAGATGGCCACTGCTAATACAGGTAACAATCTACATTTTTTTCTTCCTCTTTCTACGATGTTTCTGCTCTAAGTTGTGTTTTGACAACCAAGCCTTTCGATCTGTCTCTGTTTTTCAACGGCTCCTTATCAAATTATTTTTATCATCTCTCCCTCTGTGGCATCTTTTGTAACATGTTCCCATTTTGGTATCTGTATACCCTCATGTATAAATTGAAGCTTTCGCGGCAACTGAAGTTGATGAAAGACTTTCGGGCCACAAGCCACATCAGGTGGCTGAAAGGTGAATAAAATATATCTTCTGCCGTTTCGAGAACAATCTCTGTTCTCATCTTCAAGGCTGCTGGGTAACCAGCCCATTGCTTTGTTGCACTCCACTTTTAAAAAACCATATCTCTTCTCTCATTAGTCTTTTAATATGTGCCATAGCGCGTGTTCAAGTTTTTGCTGCACACATTTATATAGGCATGTAGTAACCTTCAAATAGGTATATTTTTTCCCTTCTTTGGAAGCTCTGATTTCTAGAATGTGTTCCTTAGTATCTGGTTATTTTGTTATTCCTTCTGTAATTTTCATTTTTCTTTAACACTTTTATTTTCCTCTGTTTTACTGTACACAGCTAAGTTGATAGGTGGTCAAAAAATTCTCCTCTTTTCCTGCTCCTTTTGAAACGTGTACTGGAAATGTTACTGTCTGCCCTGCAAACATGCTGATATGCTGAAATGTTTTCTGATTGCTTATAAATATATAGAACATCATTCTGAATGCTCACAAATAAACTGTTACTTGATAATTCTGACTTGATAAGAATTACTGCTATAAGTCATGTAGCTAACAAAGGAATGTTTTTATCATGGTTAGTTTGTGGAGTTGCTGTCTGACATGTTTCAATAAATATGCTCTCATCCCAAGATATTTGCATAGAAAATTCATGCAGCATCTGTTCCTGTATGATTTAATGCTATTTATGTAATAAGTCCATACTGTTATGCTGCTCTAAATTGTTATTACTGGAAAGAATAATATAATTGCTATTTTGGTTTTGAATAAAAAAAGAACATTAATATAAAATGATGCTGAATCAGGGATAAAGTTAGGAAGCACTAATAATAAGTCCTCTTACAAAACTTTCCTTACATTACCTTTCAACTTATTCAGAATACCATATACATGTACTTATTTTTAGTTTTTCAAAATGTTAGCCAGGCTAATGTGTTTAATACTGAATGGAATTTATTTTGACGCGGCTTGTCGCTCGAGATGATTTGATTGCATTTAGTTGCAGCGAAAGCCTCAAGTGTTATATGATTAATACAGGCATACCTCAGAGATATTGTGGGTTCTGTTCCAGACCACCGCAATAAAGCGAATATTTCAATAAAGTGAGTCACACAAATTTTTTGGTTTCCCAGTGCATATAAAAGTTATGTTTACACTATACTGTAGTCTATTAAGTGTGCAATAGCACTATGTCTAAAGAAACAATGCAAGAACATTGCAGGAATTACCAAAATGTGACACAGAGACATGAAGTGAGCACATACTGTTGGAAAAATGGCGCCAATAGACGTGCTCGACGCAGGGTTGCCACAAACCTTCAATTTATAAAAAACGCAATATCTGCGAAGCACAATAAAACGAGGTATGCCTGTACTCTTCACCTGTACAGAACAGTGAATTGTAAAATTCAAATTGTTTTTTGCTTATGCTCTGTGTTCAACAGTTTCTTTATATTCTCTGTGATAAGACCCATTTAATAGTGTGTAAATTACAGGTTCGGCTCAATTAGCCGCTTCATCATTGGCTTCAGGCAATCAAGTTGTCACTTTGACAGCCCAGCAACAGGTATGTTTCTTACGTACATAAATTTAAATTGTGAAATATGGCAACCATTGGTTAACGTTATAACTGTTATTAGAAATAGTGAGTTGTGTGGTTCAAATCTCAGCTACATTACTGGATATTTTGAGTGAGGCTTTGTTATGGCTTTTCTCAGTCTCTGTAGGTGAATTCCAGGATAATACCTGCAAGTAAGTCAGCCTATGCCACAGTCCTTGGCAATTAACAGGGATGAATCTCATGCTATTGCCAAAATCAGTGCCACAGTAGTACAGTGTGCATAGAATGAATTCTAATATCACGTTTGTCACAACTACGGGTGCATGCATTAAAAACCCGTAAACGAAGCTTGACGTATGTCTGTACTTATATTATGTTGTTTCATTGTCGTAACACGTCTAGCTTGATAAATGTCGGTAATTGTAATCATCTCGTAATTTTTAAAGGCCTGTACCACCAGGTTAGTTAAGGCTGCCCCTTCATTCACTATGGCCAATTCTGAACAGTATCTTATTTATTATTTATTGAATCAGAAAGTATTTTAAGGAAAATATGTGTAACTTGAAAAAATCGTTTTAAGTTATGTGTATCTCTTTGATGTAATGAGCTGTTTATAAAAAAGTGATTATGTTTAAATTTGATTTGTTGAATAATTTTATGGTGGGCACTTATATGAAATAAAATAAAATAATGGTGGGGTAACAAACAGTCATAGTTTTGGAACAAAGCACGATAGAAACATGAAATAAACTTTAAAATAAAGAGAAACTCTCCAAGAATCTTACCTGTTCAGTAGATTTTGATATGCGCTCCTTTAGTGGCCCTGCAGACATCAAGACGATATTCAAGCTCTTGCCATACACGACCGAGAACATCCAGTGTGATAGATGAAACAGCTTCAGTGATCCGTTCTTTCAAATGGTCTAAATTTGTTATTTGGAAAGAGAACACTTGTTGCTTCACATAACCCCACAAATAAAAATCCATAGGGATAGGATCTGGAGAGCGTGGAGGCCAGGCTATCCACCCTACTCGTCCGACCGATCGCTGAGGAAATGTTTGGTTTAGGTAATCCCGCACGAATTTGTTTTCTTTAAAATGTTGTGAACAGTTGTTTTTGAAACGCCTAACTCTACAGAACACTTCCGCGCTGATTTATTCGGGCTACGCAGATAACTTGCTTGCACAGCTTCTATGGTATCGTCTGACACTGATGGTTATCCTGGACGTGACTGTTTCAATAGGCTGCCTGTTTCTCTGAGTTGTTTGACCCAACAGTGAATGTTATTTTCGTGTGGTGGTTCTTCATTAAACACACGACGGTATTCACGCCTAACAAGTGTAACTGACTCAAACTTAGCAAGCCACAAAACACATTGAACCTTCCTCTGCATCGTAATCATGGCGACTAATAAGCTTCACGCGGCTATTGACCTTGTAACACAGGGCGCATGCGCTTGTGCTAGAACCTGTGTATGTATCGAAAAATTGGAGAGTTACTCTTTATTTTGACGTTTATTTCATGTCTCTATCTTGCTCTGTTCCAAAACTATGACTGTTTGTTACCCCACCATTATTTTACGGACACACTGTACACTTCATTCATGTTTGTTTTATAAGAATTTTTTTCTGTCATAAGTGAGAAATGTAAATAAATATTTTGAAGTAAGAAATAACTAACACAAAATGTAAAGTCATAGATTGAGTTTATTAAATTTTTGTTTTTAAAATCTATATTTTAACCATATTTTATCAGTAGTAGTAGTACTGAGCTGGGATAGCTCAATCAGTATAGTGACTAGCTACAGGCTGGACGTCTGGGGTTTGATCCCCAGCGGAGCCAGAGGATTTTTCCTCTAGCCTCTGCATCCAGACGGGCTCTGGGGCCTACCCAGCCTCCTATCCAATGGGTAGCAGGGTTCTTTCCCAGGGGTAAAGCGTGGTCAGGACATGATGCTGACCACTCACCCCCATCTAGTGCTGAGGTCAGGAAAGAGTAGGAGCTATACCTCCACTCCCCTCAAATGACCTACATGGCATGTAGCATGATGGCTTTACTTACAATAGTAGTACATTGTTTTCATATAAAACTCTTGACAAATATTGATATCCAATTTTTTTCCAGTTACAGTTAACACTCCAGAAACAAGCCCAGTTTCAGCAGCTGTGTTTAAACCAACAGTCACAGCAGCATCAACAGAAGCCCACAGTATCACCGGCATCTGTGGCTACTAAGCATCGGAGAAGATCAAATGCAGCTGATCCCAACAAATAGCAACTGCTGCTGTTGCATCTCTGTGGGTCAGAAGCTGGCCTATTCATCTACCCTACATCTCATCACGATGCTCACTACCTCGGTAAAGTTGCTAGTAAAAGTAAGTCAACCGATGAATGATGATCTAATTTTGGCCCAGTGCTTACATTTTCATATGGCCATACAGCACTTTCTTCAGTAGATCTAGTCCCGTTTCATTTATTACTAATGTACCTGCTACCATTTTTTCAGTGAGAACATGTGTGTGTTCCTCAAGTCAGTACAGTGAGCATGGACAGCAGAGCAGTCTGGTTTGGTAAATAAAAATGCAGTTCAGTTGTTGAATACAGTATATTAACGTTCTTATTCTATTTTTCTTTAATTTCTTTTACTTCCGTTGCAAATTTGCGGAGATCTACGTGTTTGATGACGTTAAGCTTGAATAGGTAGCAGAATTACTTAACTGTGCACACTGAACTAACGTTGCCTTTCGTGATTCAGGATGGCTAGGTCAGATAGTCAGAAATGGTGCTTGTAACAAGTGAAATGCATGATTGAGAATAACACTTGGTGTTAAGCACATTAAGTTCCTTGATCTGACCTTTTTTGGACTCTTCTGTTTTGGGTATTCAACATGAAGCATCCTGAACCCTGTATTGGATTCGTATCCATAGGTTTTTGTGGCTGAAGTTCAGTGTATAACTTCAGCTTTCAGGTGAAAGCTGAAGAGAATCTTTGCTGGATTGTAAAATTTTATATGGTATTGACAAAATATTTTGTTTTGCCACACTGCCAACAGTAGTAGCACGTTATATGAAGTGTAATTAGCATTTTAGACATCATATCACTCAAAAGTGTTTTGGAGTTAGGTTTTAGATCCTAAATAGTACAATTTATATACATAGTGAGTGGTTTTTTGAGAAACTTGTTAAAAATATAATGTTAAGAACTGCACTTCATTCAATATGTGGGACTGTGAGAGGGCTAAATCATAGAAATGACTTGTACAATGGATTGTTTTATGCCCAACCCTTTTGACGTAATAATGTACATAATGCTTAATATGCTGTATGAGTATGTATGTAATTTCAAGTCTTGTTTTTAGCACAGTTTAATTTGATTTTATTTACTTTTGTTTTGATATTACAAGGCACATTTGCATGTATATTTTTGACTTTTATTTCTTTGTAAGGTTCAATATACACAAGCGCCAGCTGGATCAGAGCAGTATGAAAATATTTAAGTACGTTGTGAACTAAATAGAGTTTTATACTCAGAGAAATTTAAAGATAGGTGTTTATTTAAGTATCTTAGGTTTCTCTGGTGGTGATCAGATCAAGGGAAATGAGATAAGTATATGTGGGGAGATAAGAAATGCATAAAAACAACTTCAGTGCTAAATAAACTTTAGATCGTATGCACATATATTCTGTCTTCGTAGTTTCACCATCGTGGGATGGAAATGTCAGTAAAATATATAGAAGTAACACTTTTAATAAGTGCAGATTTGTTATTTACTTAGGAAAATAAATAAATATGAAGAGATTATGTACTTGGGAAGTATGGTGGAAAAAAGTGGCACAATGCTAAAGAGGAAAGAATTGGAAAGGCTTCAGTATTTTATCATTTAATAAGAGTTTATTATCAAAAAAAATATACAGAAAATGTTAAATTACAGTATTTAGCATGTGTTTTAAAAGTATAACTATTGTAAGTTGCGCATACATGGACAAGTACCTAGAACGAGGAAATTAAATTACAGGCAGTTGAGATAAAATTCATGAGGGCATAAGTGGGGAAAAAACAGGAAAGACAGAATTAGAAACATAAAGGAAAGCTGAAGATGGAGGAAATAGAGAACCAAATAGAAGAAAGTGGATTGAGAGGTTATAACTAACTAACTAACCAGATGGATTACAGAACCTGAAGGTTCATCACAGAATTAACCAAGGCTCTCCACCAGTCCCTGTCCTTGGCCAACAAAATCCAGTTGATATTATTGAAATTGTATTGACATTTTAAAAGAATGGATGAGCATAGAATACCAAAAATATTGTTGGAAATGAAGATTAGTGAATGAAGACCCAGGGGAAAACCATGCACATTATGGACAGGCCAAGTTAAAGAGATATGTAGAGAGAAGTGGATGAAACTGGAGGAGAATAGATGAAATGCAAGAATGGGCAAATAAAGACCCCTATGCAAAAGCTGGCCTAGTGGTCACTGGGACCATGGGTTCGAATCCCACTCAAGGCATGGATGTTTGTCTGCGTCTCTCTGTGTTGTGCTGTCCTGTGTACAGGTAGAGGCCTTGCGACGGGCCGATAATGGATCCGAGGAGTCCTACCAACTGTCTGATAGATCAAAGCCAATGAAAGTTGGGACCCGCAGATGCTCAAGGCACTGAAGAACGGGATTTGTTTAAATCATTAAAGCTTGTTGTTCAGTGTTTGATACAAATGATGGAAGTGAATTGTAAGAAATGAACGTTTGAAAATACCTGAACTTGACAAAAGACATTAATATTTTTTCATGCCACACAGTACAATATTTAACTGTTTGAAACAGTTTGTACAAGTATCATTTATTTTTATCACTATTCCAGACTCTATAATATTATTATGCTGTTCATGATGAGAGAACTATACAGATTTTCAAATTAATGATCAAACAGGAGAAAGTGCTGAAGTACTAAGTGGCCATTTTGTTTACATGAAGATGGCTGTCTTCTGGGTTGTAGCGCTGTGTAGTCTGGTAGAAGTTTACCGACATTTCAGAGGTCATTGCTGCCTCCATCATCAGAGCAATGAGTAACATGGATAATGATGATGGAGGCAGCAGGGACCTCTTGAAATGTCGGTAAACTTCTACCAGACTACACGGTACAACAACCCAGAAGACAGCCAACTTCAAGCTCACCACCATGAAAACCTCAAATCCTACATGTTTACATGAACTTTGTTGTACTTTTACTTTTATGGTAACTGCAAAGGCATAGCATAATGATGACACCAGAAGTTTAAAGGTGTCCACATAAAGCCATGTATTTGTTTACAAGGCCACTTAATACTTTTTTATTGCATTTTAAAACAACTGTGGTCATAACAGTGATGGTCATATGATTTTTCAACATGTATGTCCCTAGTTAACAATCTACATGTTTATAATTTTGATCTTCTTTATGTGATTGTGAAGGTCAAAATGTTATGTTCTTTCTTGCAGAATTTAAAGATTAAATAGATTTCTATAATATCTGGACTGCCTCTTATCATAATACTACAGAAAGTTAATGTTAAATGAATAAAATCCATACAAGACTGCTACTTAAATTATAGTTGTCACTTGTAATCACACACTGTAGTTAGAATGCAATAGACAGCCTAGGCTTAATATATTATAATAAAATAAAATAAAAAATATTTATTTGATATTTGAATCTTGTATTCAAAATGCTCACCAAGTGCATTAGAGAAAATGGCTGTATGAGTGAGATTAAGGTACAAGATTAGAATGTACACTTTTATTGTTGTGTTAAGAATTGTATATTATGTACATAAACATATTGCGGGTAATCCGTGAATCATGATACAAGAGTACTTTATAAAATGTGTCAATACTCATTTGGTTGTGCACAGTATGGAAGAGAGCACGTGTCTGCCAGAGCAGATCCACGCTACTGCAATAGATTGTGAATATCATGAAGTAGTCTGTATGAACTTGACTGTACATATGATTATTATATTGTTCAGATGGCAGTCTTAGAAACTGCCTTGTCTGTTTTAAAATGAGTACAGATTATTAATTTATTTTGAAGATGAAGTTCAGGGAGAGGATATTGCTGGAAATATTTAATTGTGCATTTTATAGAGGGGGTCACAAGCATTATCATCAGGTGAGGTAGCACAGATGCAAAGACTTTTCTCTTTGACTGCTGATATTTCTGATCAGGAACATGTTTAAGCAGTGAGAGGGTTAAACTATAAATACGCTTCTGTTTTGTGTCCGTTTGTGTACTCTTGTTTGACTGTGGTGCTGATGAGTTGAAGAAAGTTTCTTCTGCATCGTTGGAACATCACAATCTATGCATTGACATTGTTAACCTTTGAATTAATGGATAGGATGATCTACAGTTTTTATCATGTGCTCTCTGTGTTATTTTAGAATTCTAATATAAAAATGGAAAATGATTCGGCATATTTTGAATCTATTGATGTTATTTAATTTATGCTAAAAAAAGTAATAAGCATGGATAGCAAAAACCTATAATAATAATTATAAAATACGTTTTTGTGGCAGTTCAGCCAACTGTATTAGCAGTTGGGCTGAGGAAGTGGTTTAACAATGCACTAAATAAGAACCAAATTGTTTACTGTCCATAAGAACCATTCATGAATTAAATTCATTGGGTGGTCATATGTCCTATTTCAGGTGGCTTGGTTCTAGAGACTGATCTTAGCTAAAAATTATGATTTGAGTTTTGAGAACATTTTCAAAGTAAAATATGATTCCTTCATTTATAAGATTTGAAACATTCACAGTGAATTAATGCAATGAATCAAGAATAGAGCTCTTGATTCATTGTTTCAAAGACTATATCTGCATCCATCATTGTGCAAGAAGACTATTGGATCCATTCATTTGCTATTCATAGAAAATATAAACAGATACATTGTAACTAAAAAAGGAAATTATTTATGGGGTAGCATAATGCAAGATAAACAGTTATTGTGCAGACATAAAGAGGGTGGATAATTAAGACTGCAAATTTTTATAGACATTGAGATCACCATCAGTTGTGAGAACAAAAAAATCTGTTGAAATAGGTTCAAATTTTGTTGAAATGTTATCTCTTGTGGTCATTCCTATTTTACTTATTTTAAAAATGTGTTCAGTTGACTTGTTTTGCATATTTTTCTAGAGGACTCTGTATCAGACTTTCTCTCACTGTGTTTCTTAGGTTATATATTTAGTGGTTGTATTATTGTATTAGTCTTTTTCACACTTAAAAAAGTAGTGATTTTTATAATGAATACTTTTTGTGGCTTTTAAATTACCCTGTTACATGAAATTATATTATAATATTGATTCCCTGTTTTATTGTTTTTTTGGAGGGGGGGTTATCTTAAATATGACCACTCTATACAAGCAACATGCACAGATTGTCTTATGTCACAGTATTTATTCTGGTGGTACATTTTTGTTAGTAGTGTCATTGTTCAGACAGGAATTTATCTGAGAATCAGACTGTTTTAAGTATGTACAGTGGATGCAAAATAACTTCAAACTTGAGTTATATCATACCAAAAGAGGAAGGGAAGATGGAAGGGGCAAGGGGGGAGCAAGACCAGCAAAGAATCTGTCTAAGCATGTATAGTGTAACTGAAAAAAAAATTCTCATTTTAATTTTAATTCAGTTGTTGGCATTTTCATACACTTGTACACTACACTATAGTTTGTGAACCTAAGGAATTATAAAACACTAGTATTACAATCACACATACCTTAACCTGCACGCTGCTTCTACAGCCTAAATGTAAGAATTTCACATTTAAGATCATACAAGGAAGAATTGGTTTATCCCTCTGTATGGGCTATCACTTCGTGGTCTTTCTGTCCCTACGATGTGTATATCTGTAAAGGTTAACAAAGTCTGGGGTTACTTTTTGTCCACTGTAACCACATTTGAAAGAAAACCAAACAACTTGCTGCCTACATATCAATTAAGTTAAAATGACATCACAGCATAAACAACAAAACATGTAAAGTACATTGAGCGTTTATAATTTCTTCTGCTATTATTCAGGAGGGAAACAGTGCATTGATATGCTGTAGCTGAAATAATTGTCAATATGAGGCTTTGATTAGAGATATTTATGATGATAGTGATGGTTTAAAATTGCCATGAAAACACTATAAAGGCTGCTGGATTTAACCCTTCAGACACAAAAATAGGAATAGCATGTTGGATGTCTGAATTACTTATTTACTGATGACAAAAGTAAGTTTGTTTCTTACATCAGTTCTTTATAGATTATTATATGGCATTATTCTGAATTAACATTCATTGTGTCTCCTGTGTTTGAAATAATAAGAAAACTAGTGTTAGTATAATGACAATCACCTAAAGACAAGAGTAGGTCCAGTTTCTAAATACTGTGTGTGCCTCATAAGAGGTTTATATAAAGTATAAACACATAGAGCCAAGTCCACACCTGTGCATTCTGCTGAAATGTAGATAATACAGCATTGCAGTTGGGTGAACAGGCTGAATGCTTTTTATTGCCTCTCCACTTTCACAATCGCTCCGGTGACATAACGTAATACCCTGACATTTGCTGAAAAACCAGCAGTGTTGAGGATTGAGCATGCCGTAAACCAAATGAGAGCAGATGTTACAGCAACAACAGCCACACCATTTACCTTATGCTGTTATGTTACAGTAGAATGCACAAGTGTGGACCGAGCTTAATGCTACTGCATCAGGCAGTTTTAAACTTTGTATGACTGTCTCAGTTTGGTTGGTTAAGATCTGTTTTCATTTGTGAAAGAAGATGGTTAATCTAGTGAAAATTAAAATGGTTTTATATATTCGAATTAACCTGGTTCTCGATTACAGGATTGATCGTACAATTTAGCCATATAACATAGAGTTCTGTTGTTACTTTCTTTGTGTTATTGTGGTATAAGATTAAGCCTGCATAATTCCAGTGTCATAAAAATTTATTTGTAGTATTTTTATAAGTATATTTGCCTTCTACAGTTCCACCTTCATGCTTACCTGAATATATATTGTATATTCATGTACTTTACATTTTGACAAAAAAGAATTTCTGCTATCAACCTATTTTAATAGTTTGTAATCTGTATATCTGTGATTATAGGGATAAAGGGACAGTAGCAAAATTAAATTTCCAGTGTGCTTCCACACTCGGCTTCCATAAATGTTATCTAGTTTTCATTAAAATTGTATATTGTAAATGCATTGATTATTGGGTGTATTATTTTATTTATACAGTTGTAACTGTCAATATTTGGTTCTAGAGAGACAGTGACATACTTGAACTTGAAATCCTGCAGCATTAGGTATTTTTGTGTCTTGCATGACAAAATCAATAAGTGTGTCTGACAGAAATAGGCTGGAAGGGCTGAGGTAGTCAGTAAATAACAATTTTAAATAATTAGTGCCAGAACAGTATTTCAGGACAGTTGTAAAAAATATAATATTTAAAATTTTTAATAATGTAATTTTATTATTTAAAATAAATCATTACAGGATTAAACCTTTGTTGCCATAAGAACAAAAGTGTGTGCTTGTGCACACGCGTGCTCGCCAAATCACACACACACACACACACACACAGGGACACATCCAGTTGAGGATTATAATCATTTTTTCTTATTGGACTTTGAACTTTTCCATTTTCAAATTCACTACCATATGTTATTCCTAAATTCAGTAAATTGTTTATCAACATATTTTCAGACTTAAAATAAGTACTCTGTTAGTGGGATAGCTCAGTCTGCAAAGTGACTAGCTATGGGCTTACCAGCCAGGGTTCGGTTTCAGGCAGGGCATTAATTTTTTGTCATCATCTTATCTAGCTTTCTATTCAAATTGTATTGAGGATTTTTTCCTCAGATTAGAAAGAGCCAGAGTGTAAAACTGGCCACTCATCTCCTAGTGGTGAGGTTAAGAACATGTCGTTCTTTAACCATACTCTCTATATGTGTTCACGGTTAAGTACACTGACTTGTTTGCTTTTTTCCAGGCCTAATAGCAGCTGCAGGTCCACAGAGGCATAGTGTCCCCCATTCACAACAATATAAATGACATTAACAACCCCATCTTATAACTATCCTGGTGTTATAATTGCTGAAGGGGGCAAAGAGACAAATTCTACACTGAACCTCTGTAACACTATTATTTATTTCCAAGACATTTTATTCTTAGTTGTGGTACTCCATTTTGGTGTAATGATTTAAATATTTGGCATTATGATGTTGGTGTATATCCACTCAACTGTTTAACAGGTCCCATACCTTGTTTCTCAGATGCAATGAAGCTTTCATGTCCCGTATAAATATTCGGGTAATCTAAAAGGTGGATTCTGAAAAGTTAGTTAAATTGAAAGTAATAACAGAAACCACTTGTCTCATGTTACTAATAAGTAATGTGATGTAAAATTTAATAATTTTACGTTTACTGCATTTATTCAAATACAAGATTTCTGGAACCAGTGAATTCCTGCATGTACAAGTCGATAGAAACTTTCAAGAAACATCTTAATAGTTTATGTACTGCTGTATGTCTCAGTATGTCAGTATATTTTCTCAGGATTATTAAATTCTTGGTCTTTGTTCATCGTCTGGTATCAAAAGAATGCGTTTTTGAAACTGGAACTGTTTCTGTCCTCAGTTGAAGAGGGAAGAGGCACCTACTCAGTTGGGTCTGTTAGAAAGAGCTGATCTCAGTCACTGACAAAGTCCAAGAATTTACCAATCCCGAGTATAACACACTATCATCAGAACCCTTTAAAATTGACCAGCATATTTATCTTTCAAATACTGCATTTGCTAATATTTTACATGTCTATGTAACGTATAAAAATTTTCAACATATTTATCATTAATGATCATTACCCATTGATTTAATTTAATGGCTACATTCATCAACATGTGTGAACACACCTTTTTTTTGAGTCCAAATTTTGACCTTTATATAAAATGACGAAAGTAATTCTCTCTTATTCATATTTGAATGGATTAGGCATCTTAATGTTTAAATTTAATCTAAATATTGTAGATATAAATTAGGATGATTTAATTATGGGTTGTAGCACTGTACAGTCTTTGTAGAATTTTACTGATGTTTCAGAGGTCCTTGCTGCCTCCATTATGAGGGCACTTACAATGGAGGCGGCAAGCACTTCTGACTGAAATATCGCACATATAAATTAAATTTCTAAAGTAAATTTTAGTAAAGCTCATCAGTATTATTAATCTGCTCCAAGTGAAGTTCTTCTTGTTATCAAATGAAAATGAAGAAATGTGAGGTTCATCAATAGTTTGGTATTTTAACTGTTTTGACATTCGTATTGATAATTGTTTAATATATTCTCTTTCCATCCTTTATGAATCATTTAACTTGATAAAATCTTACTTGTAAACACCGTCTTTAAATTGTAGCTTATTTTACTGCAAAGAGTTAAAGCAATGTCTGTATTTACTAAATTGATCATTGAATTTTAGATCACTTTCCAAAATGACCAATAAAAATTAACATCCTATATACATTGTATACATATTTTAATATACATCTCATTTGAGTAAAGGGGTGCTCTGTGATTCAGTAAAATGTTTACATTTATCAGTAACAAAAATATGATTACAAAATTAAGCAAGTTTCATTTGGTAGACTGACATAAAATCACAAATCACAGGATGTACTTTGTGATGTGTGCATTATTTTATGGCTGTATCATTTTAGAAGTATTACTGTACAGTAATATATATGCCCCATGGCACGGTGCAAACGTGATTGGGTAAGATGAAATAATTATGTTTGTAGCTACCATATGATAGTCCATAAACTCATATTATAAAACACCTACTTGTTACAAAGTGGTAAATAATTTAAGATGTTGCCAGTGTGATCATACTGAAATGGGACAGGGAAATTTATCTTTACCCTTATAGCAAGGCCATGAAAAATTAATTTTATGGGTTGCATACATCCTCCTCTGTATGTAACCCATGTGTTCAATATTAATTTTAAATTTAATCCACATTCCTGAGTAGCAGCATGCGCTCATTGAATATCTACTTAAATAATATATTTGTGGTCAAATAAGTAATTTACAGGTTCACATTAAAAAAACATACAGATGATATTAGCTGAATTAAATATTCTTGAAAATATAGCTGTACTGGATGCAAAATATCTGCAAGCATGATTCTTTGTACATTATTGCTTGCCCTCCCTCCCCATAACTCAGCTGGCTAGCCACTAACATGTTCATTTCTAAAAGTCAAAAACTCAGACACACTTTAAAACTGAGATAATTAACTAATTCATATATATTAACAACCTGTGCTTATATCATACTTGACAGAAATGTATTTCCAGCAGTAAACTATATTGTAACTATAGTAACATGAAGATGGCTGTCTTGCAGGATGTAGCACTGTGTAGTCTATTGCTACATCCCAGAAAACAGCCATCTTAATGCTTGTCACTGTAAGGACCTCTTATCTCACCATACAGCAGTATAGTCAAAAGTACTCTTACTTTGTTGAATTCAGTATTGTGTTGACTAAAATGGTCTAGGAATGTTAAACAGTGGTGACTCTTTGTCAAATATATTTAATGGGAACAATTTGCTAGTAATATTAGCAGCACTACCTTACATTATGAAAACCTATCTTCGCATCATTTAATGTTAAAGTCTTGTGTATGGTCCACAATGTCTCTTATACTTTCAACTATAAGCTCTGAACTGAACACTTTGTATAGCCATGCTCTACAGTATGGAACCCTTGCAGTTATAAGTGAAAATGACATGGATTAAATATCTTTGTGATATTACCCATTGTGCAAGGTACATTTGATATACAAGAGTTACCTCCGGTCGTGTGTAGGCAGTTGGTTGTCATTATACTGACAGATCTATTATTACTCTTTATGTTTTGATATTTTGTGAGTTTAGATTGAATTTGGGAGAATCAGCAGATATCTTGTCATGAACAGCGAGGGCCAGGTTCAATAAAAGCAACAGACGTTTCAAACCTGTGTACATGGCGTCTACTAACTTCATACTGGCTGAATGTGCTATACATGATTCTTGACAACCCTACAAATATTTAAAATGAATTTTAAAGGAGAATTGCAGTATAATAATCTTGATGCAGTTGTAATAAAAATGAATATAAGCAGTTAGTTGTTAAAGCTTAACTGATGCACATTATATAGAGATCATAAACCCATGTTGCCAAATCTGTACTTTTTTAATTTTAGACTTTTAAATGTGGAACAAAGACAAGTATATGTTTTAATTTTCTACAAATGATATAGATGGAATAAATGAATTGTATGATAACGAAATATTTTGTATTAAGAGGTGCAGCTATGTTACTGTTTTCCACTTGCAACAACAAAAACTGAATATTTGTAAAAAAAAAAAAAAGTAATGGAGTAAAGACCATCATAATAATTAAAGTAATAATGTAATATTGTATGTATAAAGCTGATTTCAATGCCTGGCAATATTATGTATTGTATACCATTGTGAAGTTACAAGTTGCATGTATGTGTGAATGTAAATATATTCTATTTATAAAATATTGCAAGAAAGTGAGAGAGCTTGACTAAGATATATAAGGGTCACTGTATGAAAATATCATGTTGAAACAAAAATTGCGATAAATTTATTTACAGAGTTTGAATAAATTTCTATAGCAGAGTTAAAAAATTCTTTTGCATACCTAATAACATTCCAGTTCCTCCCTGTAAGTAAAGTAAAGTAAAGTAAAGTTTGTCCCACTATACGCCATGTAGGCGTTTGGGGTGAGTGGAGGTATAGCTCCTCTCTTCCTTGACCTCGGCACTAGATGGGGGTGAGTGGTCAGCATCACGCCCCGGCCGGCTTTACCCCCGGGAAAGGACCCCGGTACCCATTGTAGAGGAGGCTGGGTGGGCCCCAGAGCCGGTCTGGACGCAGAGGCTAGAGGAAAAATCCTCTGCCCCTAATCGGTCCCAATTTACATTTACTCTGTTAGTAACAGTATTTTGTTTAGTTTGGATCTATCTGTATATATTTAAAAGTACAATTGTTTATTGTTAGAGATGTTATAATTATGTACAGGTTACCTGTGAGCCACTACATGGGTGCAAACTCATGTGACTTGTATTGGGAAGGTACCTGTTCAAACCTCTGCCAAGGAACCAAGTATACCAGGGACGGTAATCATTTCTACTTATGGGCCAGATGTGGAAAATTCAGTGAGGTAGGCCAGAAAACCTCACAAGAAAATTATGTGATTTAATAATTAAGTTACCAGTTATTTACAGTAACCAAACACTTTATAGATATACCAAAATACATAAAAAACTTTATTAACAAATAATTCAGATACAATTGGTAAAAAAACAGTGTACTTTGTTACTAAATACATTTGTTTTACTAAGTTTATCTTTTGTTTTCTTTATACAGTTTGTAAATAGTGTCTGCTAGAGTCTTTTCAACAATTTAAATCCTACATATTTAATTTAATCTATCCTGGTTACCTTAAGGTTAAATAAGATCTGGACTGGGACCCATTGACTTTCGCTACTCAAATGTACATAAATTAGTAAAAATGAGTATTAGAAACCCCAAAATTTCTAACCCTACAGTTATAACTGTATATGAAAGCAATGATAAGACAGTGCAGCTACCAGTTTCATCGGATATGCATTCCAATCTCTATTGTAACGAAAATTATTGTTCTGTTTAGTGTGAAAATACTGGTTATTATTATGGAATCATATGAACAAGTGTCCGGCTAGTTTCCCATAAAAATTGTGGGTGGTACGAAGATCTGGAATTTTTTACATGATTAATTAGATACACTGATTGTCAGAGCTACATTTCACTCAGAACTTGAGACACTTTACAAAACAAGTTCTAAATAAAACAATAATACACAATATTTCAGTAATTTAAGAACCCTTTGTAACCATTTGCTTTGAAACAAAACTAAATTCAAAAAATCTTGTGGGAAATTAATATAAAAAATTACATGAAATGTAATTATGAAATAAATTGATGTCTAAGTTAAGTAAGTATGCTCAGCAATGTAGAGCTTCAGTGGATACACAAAGATTGTACCATAAATAAATAAGGTAGACAGTTCCATGACAAAGGGAACAGGAAAATGTAGAGCTGTGAAAACAGTGTGGAGGAAAGGCAGCCAAAGCTGAGTGGTAACTGTAGGCTTCGTACCGCCTGCTTTAAAAATCAAGAAATCTGAATTTGTATTTATCTGTTTTGCATGATCCTCAGTGTAAGCAACGATTATTTCCTTAAACTGCATTAACTAGCTGATATTTGTAATGGTGAAGTGTAGTGTTTTCTTTGTGGTACAGCTGAATTCGTAAATATTACTTAGACGAACTTTGCCGCCTTCAAAGGGTTAAACACAAGGATGAAAAGTATGAATGTGGGTAATGGTTTGAACATTGAGAGACAACATATTCATACACACAGGAACAAAATAATACAATCAAAACTGGCATTTCTTCATATATGTGTAAAGACACAAGCATATTTTTAGTTACAGTGAAGGAATTAAATAACCACATGTCCAAACATCACTAATAGACAAATGTAGCTAAAATTCACCAGCCAGTCACTATAAACAATATCCTTGAACAGTAAATACCAGCTTATTTTTATTTTCATTAATCTTTTTATTAGTGTATTTTCTTGTCAGTATTAGTATCAGCTGTTTTAAAAATTTAAGTTTCATGAGATTTAAGAGCAGTATTAATAAGTTTGTTGATGTGTTCTGCTCTCTTCATGGCACCATTTATACATTCCTGTAACTGTGCGTCTGTTAGAGGACTCCCTCCTGGTTTGTGCACAGAACACAATTTGTCCCCTTGAACAACAACAGTCATGATGCCACTTGATAAGCTCTCTTCTTCATTTGTTGGATCTGTTAAGAGGATTTCACTGAAAGAACAAAAATAAACATAATTAGAGCTACAAAGTTACGGAAATAAAATTTGCTCTTAAATACAGAAGAACTAAAGCTGTAAACATTCAGACAGTGCAATGAAAATCAAACCGTTCTCAGGTCACAAACATAGGTACTCTATCTCAAATCATTAAATGTCATGCTGATAGTCTTACTTTTATCATTTACTAACTGTTGAACTGAACCCAAAGGTTCAACACTGCCAATACTAAAGCATATCACGGGACACATTCATGAACCACTTGCACACACCCTCATATGTTCCCACTTCCGACATCCATATTATTATTATTGCTGTGCTGACTGCATTTTATTTTGTGGTTTTAATTTTATAAGTTTTTTCTGTTTTGTTTTATTTAGTATTATTAATTGAATTATATTACTTAGGTATATTTAGCTCATTTACTTATTAGTTATTTTGCAATAAATTAATATTGTACATTTATATATTTAGTTTACTGTTTGTTTGTTTTTGTATTGTAATGTTTGTATAGTGCTTGGCTGTCATTGGCCTTTTTGGCTGTTAAGCACTTTAATAAATGAATTGAATTATTATCCCAACTCTTCACCACTTTATGGGGTATGTACTTCCATGTACCCAAGACAGACCTTGTCCCTAAGGTACATAGGGCAGCAGCTATTTCCGGGATCCATATTGTTTTTAGCAAGTGCCACATGTATTATATAACTTTATTTTATGAAAGCGTCTTTCGGATGATGTTTGAAGTTCCCAAAATGGCGGTCTTCTGCAGTTCCCTGTAGTGTTCGCCCGGGATGTTGGCCAAATATTTTCTGAGTGACCTGGAGACAGTTCCTGTTGTTCCTATAACTATTGGGATTACTTTTGCTTGAACTTTCCACATTCTCTGTATTTCTATGAGAAGGTCCTTGTATTTCAAGATCTTCTCTGCTTCCTTCTTAATCACATTCCTGGCAGTCGGTATTGCTATGTCAATTAAGAGGCAAGTTCCGTTTTTGTTTCTGATTATAATATCTGGTTTATTATTTGGGATGGTTCTATCTGTTCTGATTTGTTGGTTCCACAAAATAGTTATTTGGCTATCTTCACTTGTCTCCACTGTCTTCGGGATGTGTTCATACCAGTGCTTCTCTTCTAGCTTCACCCCAGCGTTCCTGCATATGTTAAAATGTAACTGAGTACAGACACGATCATGCCGTTGTATATACTGCTCTTTTGCCAGCACGGGGCATCCGGACATAATGTGATCTGTCATCTCATCAAATTGCTGACATATTATTATTATTAGTTCCTCATAATATTCTTCTTGGTAAACTTAAAACCTTTGGACTATCACCCAGTTATGTTGATTGGTTCCATAGTTATCTTTCTGACAGGCAATCCTTTGTTCGTGTATCTGGAACTCTTTCATATCCTTATCGTGATAAGTGTGGAGTGCCTCAGGGTTCCACCCTAAGCCCCTTACTTTTTAATATATTTAATGATATTTGTGACTCCATACATAACTCACAGTGCCTTTTATTTGCTGATGACTTAAAGATATATCGGAGTATTAGCGATGTTGATGATTGCAAACTGTTACAGGACGACATCCATTCAGTGCAAAATTGGTGTCTTGTTAATGGGATGCAACTTAATTTAAGTAAAACGACTGTTATATCATTCACCCGAAAGACAAACAGTATTTACTTTAATTACAAATTGTGTAACAACCTGGTGGCACGCTCCCATTGTGTTAAAGATCTCGGTGTTCTATTGGACTGTAAGCTTTATTTTCACCAGCATATTAACTACATATTTTCACAAAGCTTAAAAATGCCTGGTTTGATTCGGTACATTACTTCTTCCTTCTCCACTATTGATAGCCTTTTGGTTTTGTACAGTACTTTAGTCCGTTCTAAAATTGAGTATGCATCCGTTGTTTGGAACTCTATTACTAATACTGACTCCTTTAAACTGGAAAGGATTCAAAGGAAAATTGTAGCTTTGTGTTACACTAGATTCTTTAATGGCGTTTGTGCCTATAATTATGATGATATATTAGTCAGATTAAATTTTTTATCGTTGCATTTAAGGAAGAAGCTTTTGGATGCGCTTTTCCTCATTAATGTTTTTAAAGGCAAAATTATTTGCTCATCTGTTTTTGATACAGTTAGTCTCTGCGTACCCACTAGGTCTATCAGAGCCTACTCTACCTTTACTGTACAACGTAATTTCAAGGCTAGTCCCTCTGCCAGATGCGTTTCTGTTGCCAATGCAGTCAGTAGGAGCATCGACATCTTTAACAAAGATCCTGTTTTGCTTACTGATGTCAGTCAGCTCTTTAAACAATAATCATTGCTCTTTTTTATTATTTATTTAGTATAATATTTTATTTTGTATGTTGTTTGTCCAAAATTGAACTGATTTTAATTTAATTTTTAATTTACTTATCCATAACATTTAGCTCATTTACTTATTAATTATTTTGAAAAAAATTAATATTGTACTTTATATATTCAGTTCATTGTTTGTTTGCTTTAGTATTGTAAGATTTATATTGTTGTTAGTGCTTGGCTGTTATTGGCCTTTTCGGCTGTTGTCAAGCACTTTAATAAATGAATTGAATTGAATTATTATTATTCCATCTATTTACCATTTTATAAGGTATTTACTTCTATGTACCTAAGACAAACTTTGCCCCTGAGGTACATAGTGCAGCAGCTATTTCTGAAATACATTTTGTTTTTAATACGTGTTAGATGCATTATACAGATTTTGTGTTAGGCATTATATATTGTACATGGGCATCTTTCAGATGATGTATTATGTTCCTAGCCTGGCGGTTTTCTGAAGTTCCCTAATGTCATGATTGCCCGGCATGTTGGCCAAATATTTTTTGAGTGACTTGGAGATGGTTCCATTTGCACCTATACAGGTAAACCTCGATTTAAACTGGGGATGCGTTCCTGGATGAACCAGCATAAATTCAAACTCTTTTTATAATGTAAATCAATGGGAAGTCAATGATATGTGTTCCCGGCACCCAAACATTGACGACTTAAGTTCCTCAAAAACTGACTTTGCCTTATCCGTGGTAGCAATTTCAGTCAAGGGGATGTTTTTTCGAAAATCGAGGTTTACCTGTAATTATAATTATTATTGTTGTTGTTGTTGTTTCACTTCCTTTAGGTGAATAGGCATGAAAACAGGGAGTACAGAGATAAATCTCCATGTATTGACTCAACTTCTTGCTTTATGCACATGCATACAGAATACCTAAATTATAAGATAAAAGTACATACTCATCAAAAATGGTGTAAGTTGTGGCTACAGGTTCGCTATGCACCTTAAGTTTACTTCTCTTCTCAGCAGAAACAACTGTTTTCTCTGCTTCAGCATCATATAAAACATGGGGAAGTTCCACTGAAAAAAACAGTCAAGCATATTAGTACAACTACGACAGTTTTATAGTGTAGGAATATTCCAACACGTCGCTCCATTATCACTTAGAATATGCTTATACATAACTGTATATGTGGTAGCTTAAGACACTACTAATAAAGTAGCAGTCACTTTTTCTTTCCAAAAAGTAAGTGCTTTTTTTATCACTTACCTATATTATGTTTCAGTAAACTAAACTACATTTATGCTCATGTGCCACCCAGTAGATTATACATACCAGTTCTGAGAGCTGCTACAAGCGCTATGACACATGCGTCCAATAATGATCCGTCATGGTCCAAACAAATTAAATCACAATGAAGAACCCATGCCAAATGCTCTGATACAATGCATAAATCCCTCAGATCTATACATCTGGAGTTAGTGAGTGTTTCAGCAATAAAATTACTCGACACTTGTGCCTGGTCACTCGGTGGTCCAGGGCGAAACTTAGGTGAGCAAAGTGGTGGAAGTTCTACGTTTGGTACAAGATATCCAAAGTTAGGTTCTTCAGCTTTTGGTTTTGCCAGTTCCTAAACAGATGATATAAAATATTATTAATACAAAATGTACTGTAAAATTTTTGGCAATATACATAATAAAACCATCAATTAACTAAGATTTTTTATGGTCAAAAACTCATCACTGCACACTTTATTCTGATAATGTCTAATTACACTGTCATTTTCACAGCTGTAATTCAAAGACATTCAGAAACAGAACCATGAGCCCTAAAGGGTTTTGACGATGGTAGTTTACACATAAAATTATTCTTTGTCAGGACTTTTTCCATCGTCTGTTCTTTAAAATCACAACGTTTCGGAGGCTGGTTCTGTCTGAGTAGAAAAAGGCATTTATGATCAATTAAATTTAATGAATGTTACATATATAACAGTAGGACCATATATCAAATACATGATCTGTCAAATTAGTCAAAAAACATGTGTAACAGTTCAATAAGGCCCTTATATGAATTGAAGTCCATGAAATTTACACACAGTAATGTTTGTAGAATGAAATGTTGTATACACTTTTATCAGAATCTGTGAAAGACCCAGAAGCTAGTCCAGTATATACTGAATGATATTTCAGAGCAGTTTACTGCCCAGTCATGATGGTGATCCCAGATGACAGAAATTTTCAAAATCAAAATAGCTCAATAAAATTTAGATCTATCATACTCTGTTTGAAATAGGTTACTGTTCCTTGTAGACATACTAATTGACACAACAAAATCAATATGTGTTTTTTAAACCTTTTTTACATATGGTTAACCATCACAGTTTTCTGATATTCTTGTATCAGTCTCAGTGTAATTAACAAAACATCTTTATTTTAGCTGAAAACATTCTACTTACAGCTTTGATTCCACACACAACCGTAGTGTTTCCAATTTTAACAATAGCTGAGCCTTCAGCTGTTTTTATAGAGCCCACATTAATTGACACCGGGCGAAATGTCTGTAAACTTCGACCATCTGGCCTCACATTCTGCGCCTTAAACACAATGGAAATATACAGATAAAAATCCAATCTAAAGTAATTTAGTAATGATAGTCGTATGTTTACTGGCAGGCAAATTCCACAAGACAACACTATACTACATGCAGGTAGGCAAAATGCTGGAGGCGCATGACTGTCTGTGGGGAAAACTAGCATGCTCGTGTTGGTTTTCTGGGTTGTAGTGCCATGCACACTGTGGTACATGTAATGTATGATTAAGAAAAGATAAGTAATAATTTTAATCTTTATAAGCTGCTGTGTTAGCTTTCAATAAAATTTGTTTTCTGAAGTACTATTTTAGGTTTTCCCCATCATTCTTGATCAGTAGTTTGTCAATTATATGATAATGTATGTTAATCATGGAACTTACTAGGAAGTCTCTGTAGTATTTCACTGGATGAATTGTTCTGAAATTAAGAGACAAATCAAACAATTTCACAGCTCTGAATTATACTAAGAACATGTGACATTTCTAATACATTCCTTCCCAGGAATTTGAAAGGTAGTTCCCATTACAGGGTGAATTCCTGCACCTGTTCCATGTATTTATGGCTATTTCCATACCTGGGAATGCTTCTGAATAAATGGACATTTATTTGTAAATAAATGAAAGAAAGAACACGGCTTTCTTCAGGCCCGATGATGAAGGTAGCAAAGACCTTTGAAAAGTTGGTAAACTTCAACCAGACTACACAGTACTGCAAGCAAGAAGACAGCCGTCTTCATATTCACTGCAGTAAGAATCTCAAATCCTACATAAATGTAAACAACATTTTCCTCTGTCTGTGATTGAACAAACACAACATTTCTTCTTTAATAAACATTAATAAACAAGCTCGAATGTGTGTAAGACATTAGGAAATGTACACAGCATAACAATTCTAGTACATTCACTAGACTTTGACCAAAAATAATGGCACTGGCTCGGTGATGATGTCATCACAGATTCCTAACATGACTGCCAGGCTGGATGTTAATTCCCTGCCCAGTCACCTCTATATGTAAAAGGGTCTTCAAGAAATATATATGCATGGGAAATGTAATAAGTATATTTTTGGAACTTTAGGAAGGAATTTGTCAAAAAAGTTTGTGAACGGTGTTCAGATTTGATAATTCTAGTATTTTGCAAAGCTGTTTGTATATGAAGTGATGGCTTGCTTGGAAGTGACCTATACTTCATATGCAAGATCCAACTTCAAACACTACAAACATAAAATTTAAATTTTGTTCTTCTGGGTCAAAACTTATAGATGCCCACATTTCAGAAAGAAGAAAAACATGACCTCCATCATAAGGGAATAGAAACTCAAATCTCATACAAGCAAAAAGAATCTTTCATATATCCATATTATACAGTTCGTGTCTATTAAATTTACGGGCGATTATTAGAAATGAATCTAATTAATTTACATTTGCTTAAAGTCATGTGCTGCTTCAAAATTGTAATGCCTTGAACACAGTTCTAATTTGAGTTATAATTCAGATTAATTTTACAAGTCACAGTGATATCCATAGTAAAATTTGCTGTTCAGGAGGATCGTTGGAGTCTAGTAGCCATAAGCAGAATCCCTATGTAGTGTAAAGTTTGGATAGGTTAGAATTGGCATTGAGGTATAGTTCTTAGCAGATCTTTTGAGATTCTGCCATAACTGGCGGAGTTTAGAGATGCTATAGGTCACTGTTAGTCCCACTTCTACTTCAACTACGAATTTACAAACATAATTATCAAACTGGGACTTCAATACACTTGCTATATAGGTTAAATTGTGGGAAAAGAAAATCATTGTTAAATGTCTTTTGCCACTATTGTATCAGAAAGTAAATATATACACAGCTTAAATAAGAACGCATCGGTCCTTAAATAACATAACATTTGGCAGTTATAATCCATAAAAACTACTAGTTGTGCACATATATTTGTAAACATACTTATAACTAGCCGCCATTTCCAACGAACGTAAGCATACCCTGTCAAAACTACCACTTACATAGACATAGATAGGTAAAGGCCATAGTTAAGTACTGAGAGTTTCATGAAAGTCGGATCACAGATTATATCTTGGCTACAGTCATAATTAACGACATACTACGGAAACTTTCCTCAGGGGGAGATCCACATACTTCATGTTCTGCATATAGACAACATTGTGGTGATGATTTTAGAGGTCGTGTGTGTTTTCGGCAAGTGAGCCATAACATTTACAGTAAACCCATCCAATTCTCTTTTCCCCTTTTAACAAAGAGACATAAGGTTATCTATGTGCTATATTTAATACGTTGGTGCACAGGATCAGAACTCTTTTGTAACTGAAGGCCTGCATGATGAACTGGAGTTCCTTAGGGCCACTTTCAGGCACAATTGCTACAGCAACCAGAAAATCTAAAAGACTCTCAGTTTACCATAAATAGTCATCCTGTCCCCAGAGAAACCCATGTCATTTACCTTCCTGCCCACTGTGGGCACAACCTACATCAGCAGGATGTTGTCCAGAGACATAATCTGTGGACCTCTACCCAAGGAAGGTTCCCAGTTTTGTATAATCTGTAAAAGACATTGGACCCATGACTCCAGGTGTATGCAACCTGCCTTGCAAATGTGGTCAAGTCTACATTGGACTGACCTATCATTACACTGAGACCTGGTTTAAGGAGCTCCAATAGCATATTTATCATGGAGCATTCAGATAAATAATTTCCATTTTTCAATATTTTCTTTCTCTTCCCTCTTTACATTCCATTTCTTTTCTGTAATCTTAAATGCTGTTCCCCTACCTGCCTGATACTGGCTCCTTCTCCATACTCATTGCTGTAAGAAACAACATTTCATTAAATTATGCTTATGCTTAAGTAAGGAGATTCTTACCATAACCCACTTGGACACTGCTAGCAGTTCCTCAACTGCTGATCTATCCAAATTTCTACACTTATACGTTTGCTGTGGGGCCTTTGTACCCACGACCTGTTATATCCTGCTCCTTACCTAGTAGTTTTCATATGAATAATTTAATCCAATTCTATATGTGATCTGGAGTTTCATGCAATAAAATATAGGGTTAGCAAAGAGGTGATGAAAAAAGGTTTTAGACCACCACATTGTTTGGGAGGTAGGTGTAAACATGTGTTTCAGTGACCAAGTGGCCAGAATAGTAAATGATAAAAAGCAAGAGGTGCATTTGATATGTTTGCTTAATCATTAAAGAACCTTTAATTGTCTACATGATTTATTCTGAAAATAACAATTGTACATTGATTTTTTATATGGATGGATGGATGGATGGATGGAGGCAGCAAGGAACATCAGTAAACTTCTACCAGACTAAATAGAATTGTTTAATTTTAGTTTGCATTAGAAATCATCTTGTAAAGAGAATCTTATTCTTTTATGTGCATTTGTAATCATCTGCTTCTTTAATTCTGTGGATTTCTAGTCTTGAAAGTACAGTAGATTATTAGAATTTTGATAGGTAGGTACATTGAAGAGTAAAATAATTTTTATACTTTAATACACTTATAATGATGGTACCACAACCAAACTGTCCCTGAGGGACAGACTGAGCCATTAAGACATTCCACATTCCTAAATTTTACTATTAAGAAATTAGAGAATATAAATTCTATTCTATTTTATCCATATAAGAAAAACAGGTGCAATTGTAGTTGTGCATAGTTTGTTCATATATTTATTGTTAGAAGATGACAAAATTTACAAAATATACCTGCTCTTAATTTTATCATTCCTATAATTAAATGTTTATTGTCTATTCTGAAATTGTAGTTGCTGCATTTTAAAAGTATTCCGTAGTCTAGATGCCCTTAAAGAATATTATAGGTATAGTTCAAATTTTGCTAACAAGACATATTAATTTCTACCTAGTTTGCTCCCCCTTCATTTCTAAAGTGGTACAATAAATGGAACAATCTCATGCACAAAATAAAACCAACATCATGCGCAAATTAATATTATTAAATATATATTTCTCAAAGTTCTATCAACCATAGATTTCAGTTGTATTTACTTTTGTTTATCTGTGGTAATTTTGTTTAACTTATGCGTTTATACAATAATTCGGGATAGTTAAAATTTATAGATTACTTAACAATTCTGTGAGTCGATTAATAGAAAAATAAATAAATTAATGCAACGGGATTTGTTTTCTTTCTTTTTTATGCAAATTTGTAGTGACGTTGATTACTCATATTTCCAATCATCTGTGATTACGGAAGCTAGATGACCACGTGACGGCAATGTGTTTTGTGATTGGTTTGTTTCAAGACTCGCGGAGGTTTTAACGTTTTGTGACAATTCTTGCATAGGTAGTGTAGGACGTATGGCGTTAGTATGATCAGAATGAAATTAGAGTCATAGTTAGAAGGTAGTCTTAAACATTGTAAAGATTGTAACACTTGTGCTCCTGTATTCAAATCATTATTACTTCGTTCCATAAGTTATTTAATTCACATTTGTATTTAGTATCTAAAGCCATAGACGACCGTTACACAGAGAACATGGCTACCTTTCGAATTAATCAAGATCAAGAAAATTGTGGCCCAAATTTGAGGCAAACCCAAAAGGAACAATCTCAGCAGCAAAGGAGGCCCGTTTTGGGTGTGATAAATAAAAACACAACCCGAATTCCTTCACAGAAGCCCAAACAGGTAAGTTAAATGTACCGTTACATTGGGTGAATAACTTTACAATATTTGTAATTTAACAGCTGATTGTCAGGTCTTATAAGAAAGTTATTATTCTTTTAGAATTTGCGGAATTCTTTTAATTATCGGATTATTTTATCATTATTTATGATTATGTGATTTATAACCGAACTTTAATTTTGCATAATGAGTCATTTTCAGGCACACTGATGTTGGAAATTTCAGTTTCAATAGGTTTTGTGCGTTTCCGGTCAATTATATCTTCATATATTAAACTTCTTCAAGTTAAGTGCAGTAAGATGCAGATTGTGTGCTATTAATGTGTTTTACAGTGCATTAGTAAGCTGCTAAATGTATGTATCTGTTTGTAGATTTGTTTGAGCATTGTGATGTTTGTTCTCTATCTTAGTGTGATTGCAGAAATATGAGTTTATTATATGTTAATTTGCATCTTGCAGGAAATTACATCTCAGGATGAAAACCTGTGTGCTAAGCAGAAAAGCACAATACAGATAGTACAGAAGGCACCATTTACGATTCATGAAGACAAATTAGTTGAAGAGAAGTCTGTTGTTCTAAGGGATAGTAAACCTCAAGCATCATGTATAAATAATTGCAGAATAAGACAGTTTGGTTTACCAGCAACTGTAACAAATCTTCATCGGCAACCACTACAGGAGATTAGTATTAAACATGATATCTTTGAAGAAGATAGTACAGGTGGTTCCCCAATGTCTTTGGACAGATCTGGTATTCTGGGTACCCCAATCAAGCAGGGGTCAAAGTCGGCACAGGAATTGCTTCTGGATATTGATGAATACAAGGAGGAAATTTATCTGTACTTACGTGAGGCAGAGGTTTGTAAATAGAGATTTTTGAATAATATTTGGTCGTGTATCATTATTGTGCTTTAAGTTGAGAAAGAGTATTCAGAAACAATAGTGAAACAAAACTACAAGGTCAAAGTAATGGCTTCTAATTGTGTTTGTAGAAGCTACTGAGTATAAGAAAAATGTGCTAATGAAACCTGTAACAAAATTCTTACAGGTATATATTTATCTGACTTATTTTCCATCAAGAATGGTCTGAGACAAGGAGATGATTTTTCTCCATTGCTCTTTAACTTTGCGCTAGAATATGCCATCAGGAAAGTCTAAGATAGGCAGGAGGGTTTACAATTGAATGGAACACATCAGCTATTGGCATATGCTGATGATGTGAATTTTTTTGGTGACGATATAAACACAATAAAGAGGAACACAGAAGTTTTACTAAAGGCTAGAAGTAAATTCAGAAAAAAACTAAGTACATAGTAGTATCTCGTCAGCAGACAGGCGGGCAGAATTATCTTAGGGTGGCTAATAAATCCTTTGGAAGTGTGACGAAGTTCAGATATGTGGGAACAACAATAACAAATCTGGAAATTAGGAAGACTAAATTCTGGAAATGCTTGCTACTTCTCAGTTCAAAATATTTTGTCTTCCCATCTGATTTTAAGAACCTGAAAATTTAAGTATAAAATAATTTTGCCTGTTGTTTTGTATGGGTGTGAAAATGGTCTCTCAATCTGAGGGAGTATCATAGATTGCAGGTGTTTGAGAATATGGTGTTCAGGAGGATATTTAGGCCTAGGAGGGAAGATGATGGGGTATGGAGAAAACTGCATAATGATGAGCTTAAAAATTTGTGCTCACCAATGTTGTCAGGGTGATTAAGTCGAGAATAATGAGATGGGCGGGGCTTGTGGCATGCATGGATGGGACAAGAGGTGTACACTGGTTATTGATCGGTAAGCCTGAAGGGAGATCTAGACGTAGATGGGAGGATAATATCAAGTGGGATATATGGGAGATAGGAGTTGAAGGCGATTGGACTTTGCTGGCCAAGGACAGGGACCAGTGGAGGGCTTTGGTTAATTTAGCGATGAGACTTCGGGTCCCCTAAGCCATCTAGTTAGTTAGTTTGTAGAAGTGGAAGTGTTTTCTTTGTATCTTTACAGAGCAGTGACGAGAGGTTGACAGAAGGGGATGGTAACTGAGTAAGCCTATATTAGATTTCAGTTTCTTACATCACTGAAGATGTTGGAGAAACATACTGTCTCCATCTTTAGGCCTGAAGGTGTAGTAGTATGTTTTGATGAAATGTTTATATATACTTACAAGTCCACATGCTGTCACAGTCTGGAGCAACATCATCGACAATTAAACCTAAAATTCAATGACACGTGTACATGGCCACCATATTGCATACATGATTTTCTGTAATTGGATGTGTGTAAAACTTGTGCTGTGTATGATTATTAGAAGAGTAAGGAAATTATAAAGTTTTTTAAACTGCACCTACAATGCTGCTCATATAACTTGCCTTTGTCTGAATTTCGAGATTTTTCTGTCAGGAATAGAGGATTTTCTTTGCAGTACAGTCAGACCTCGGTTCACGAACGCCTTGGATCACGAACAATTCAGTTTGCGAACAAATTTTCTGAACACAAAGCGTCTCAGATTACGTACTGTGTCTCGAGTTACGAACACGCAAGCCGTCAACATCGTGGAGCGATAAGCTGGGAGTATCGGCGTCGGCAGTATTCGTAGAAGAATGATCCAGCATGGGGCCAAAGAAAGACAATGATAGCAGCAAAGTGAAAAGAAAAAAATATCAATATCATGATAGATGTTAAGAAAGAAATCATAGCCAAACATGAAAATGGTGTTCGTGTCTCTGATCTTGCTACTTCTTTGATCCGTGAAATTTGTGCAAAATGGGGTGAGGTGCAAAGTTTCGTGGAACGATATCACCCCGATAAAGCAGTAGCAAGCCGCAGCATAAACATTTTCAATGATAATGCCATGTATCACTTTAGGAACATTTTAAAACGTAGACAAAAACAAATCACGCTGGACAACTTTTTAGTGAGACAGAGGCCCAATAAGTCTGATGCAGAGTCAAGTGGTGCCAAGAGACAGAAAAAAGAAAAAGAATCCCCTTCCAAACAATAATATTCCACTTCCTCACCACCTTCCACTTACGCCGTCGACTCTCCTCCATACAGGTACAGTAAAACTAAATTTAGTTTTCGTCTATATTTGATCTGCTTAGTGTTGTGTTTTTTTTTTTTGTGATGGATTTAATGGTTCCCATTGATTTTGTGTTAAGAACTTGTGCACAAAGTACTGTTGTAAAATTTTAAATAAGCAATCATCTGGGGTACAGGAACGGATTATAATCCATTTTACATTAATTCCTATGGGGAAAATAGTTTCGGTTTATGAACGACCTTCAGGAACGAATTAAGTTCGTGAACCGAGGTTTGACTGTATTTGCAGAACCATGATAATTTGATCATACAGCATCAGAAAATGTAAAATATTTGTGAGGCAGGACTGAAATATGGTGACATATGAAGTCTCAAAATAGACCAGTAAGTAGCACAGTCAAATGCAAGGTAAAAAATTGATTATTTCCATTGATTGTTTAATGGCAAACACTATTGATAACCACCTTTTCTAAGTATTTAGTGAGATTGCAGCTATATCACAGATTGAAGTTTACTTAACTTATTACAGAGATGCTGTAAGTAGGACTTGAGGTTCTCACATGCAGTTAGTGTGAAGATGGCTGTATTCTGGGTTGTAGTGCTGTCTTGTCTGGTAGAAGTTTTACTAATGTTTCAGAGATCTGTTGATGATGGAGGCAGCAAGGACCTCTAAAATATTGGTAATTTTCTGCCATACTACGTGCTGCTGCAACCCAGAAGACAGCCGTCATTATACTTGCTGCTGTGCGAACCAGAAATCTCACTTCTTGTTTAAACTTATTCATGTTCTATACAAATATTTTGCTCAACTTTTTGTCAGACATGAATATTTATGGTTTGCTGTTACCACCACCATAATTAATCAGCATAATAAAGGGTAAATGATACTCACTGTTGCAGTGGCTGACCCAGTAAGAAGAGCAGTAAGCAGTATATTGATATTGCATAGCAGAAAGGCTTTGTCCAAATATGGCCACCGAAACATAGCTTGTAGTACATAGTTGTAAAAATGAGGAAACATTTGTAATCATTTTCAGACTCGCCATCGTCCGAAGCCTGGATATATGAGGAAGCAGCCTGACATTACATACGCAATGCGTTCAATTCTGGTGGACTGGTTAGTGGAAGTAGCTGAGGAATATCGATTGCAGACTGAGACATTGTATCTTGCTGTATCATACATTGATCGCTTTCTAAGCTTTATGTCTGTTGTTCGTGCTAAGTTGCAACTTGTTGGCACAGCTGCGATGTTCATTGCTGCGTAAGTTTCCAACCTGTATTGTTTGGTGACGTATAAGAAGTTTGGTTTTTTGTGGGATAGACCAGGGTTTTTCAACCTTCTAGGACCTGAAGCCACATTTACACTTTCATACTGGCTCACACGCTTTCAGATTATGAATGAAAATTTCTTGAATATCCTGACAGATTATGAAAAGTGTTACTAACTTGCTATCACACGTTTACGTATTACTGATTTTTTTGACAAATTTGTTGGATTATTATTTTTATCATAATGCAGCGTGATACACTATTACAAAAATGTGCATTGGCTGCAAAATGCATGTCAGCAGACTGTCTCCAACCTACAGGTTGAGAACCCCTGGGGTAAAAGTTTTGTTAATGGCAAAGAAAAGAAACTCGTAACTTAATTGATGTTTTGCAATTCAAGGTGTCATGCTGATTCTGTCTTCTGGGTAATCATGCCATAAGTAATGAGAAGAATGGCAAGTAATTTATTCTCAGGCTTACTAAATTCTTGGACTTTAACCATCGTATAGTATTCAAAAGAACACAATGTTTTGTAAACTGGATCTGTTGCCATTGTCAGATGAAGTGGGAGGAGCGTCTTCTCAGTTGGGTCTGTTAGAAAGAGCTAACCTTAGTCACCGGACCTGGCTACATTACTGGATGTTAGCTCTTTGTAATAGATTGATCAGAATAGGTGTTCCTTCCCTTTTCACCCGAGGACGGGAACAGGTCCAGTTTTCGAAACGTGTTCTGTTGAATACCAGATGATGGTCAAAGTCCAAGAATTCAGTAATCCCGAGTGCAACGCAATGTCATCAGAACTCTTTAAAATTTAGGTCAGTTATAGTTTCAAGTGAACACGCACAATTTATTCTGTTGTGGAGGGCAAAAAGGTTGTTTAGTCTGATGCCATCCTCTAGTGGTTTGATCTTCTTCCGTCAGTATTTTTCAAAGATAATAGCCAGTTTTTGTTGTCTTTATCAGTTCTTAATCAGAAATGTCAAATTACCATAGTATATGCTCAAATATAAGTTTTATTTAAATGTGCATAAATTACTTTCGTTACATGTTTGAAATTTGCTGACAATTTGTTTGTTGGGTTTTAGAGTCGATAACATATGTGTCACTTGTAAACCTATGCAAAGCAGCAATTGTGATAATCAATTTTTTCAAAACGTTTTTGCCAGCAACTTATCACTTCATCCCTGTTAGGTACAAATATTCTTCTAAGCACTCTGCTCTCAATTTTTGTTTTTCTCTTTACATGAATCACCATGTTTCATATAAACAATGGGTAAAATTATAGTTTTATACATTTCAATCTTTGTTTTTTTAGATAGCAGGGGTGAGGGGGAAGAGATTCTGAGAACATGGTAACAAGCAGTTTCTGGATTTAATTTGCTCTTAATTTCTTCATGAATACAATTTTGATTTATTACTGTTATTCAAAATATTTGAATTTTGACATATTTCAAAGAATTTTCTCTTTACCAGGTACAAATACAGATAGCCAGGCTGTTGGTTATTACATATGTAAGCTATAAATTTACAGAATTATAATTCTTTTGTTAATTTTTGCCTTCCCACTCATTTTAAGCTTGTGATTTAAAAACTTGTCTTACAGATCTAAACTTTTCTATTTGAGTAAAATAGTATAATTTAAAATGAAAGTTTATTTTCAGCATGTAATGTTGTGTGGTCTCAGCTGTGAGAGACTGCAGTAGAATAATATTTTAAAAATAATTGGGTCGTAAAGTCATACATATTTATTATGTGTTCTTTGCACAAAGTGCGTAGCAAGAAAGCATAATGGGCTGGTCATGTTTGCCCTTCTGCCTGTCCAGTTTATGCTTCTCAAGAACTAGTGGATGAATTTGGATAGAATTTGATCTGGCGGTTGTCTGCACAACCTCAAAATCATGCTTATGATTATCCTACAAGTGGTGATGACAAAATGATGGATGAGGAAAGTTGTGAGATAAATGTTGATGTGCTGTGATCTGGTAGCAAAAGTGGGAACTATCAGACATGGTGGATTTAATACCTCTAAATGCACACCACAAGAAACCCAGTGTGGAATACACTTTTTGAATTTTTTATGTAGTGAAGTGAGCATAAATATTGTATATTATTATAATCAATTGCTACTTGATTTTAGGAAATATGAAGAAATATATCCTCCTGATGTGAGAGAATTTGTGTACATCACTGATGACACATACACGAAGAAACAGGTACTGCGAATGGAGCATCTAATTCTTAAAGTTCTTGCATTTGATCTCTCAGTTCCAACAACATTGAGTTTCATCACAAGCTTTTCAGTTTCTAATGATCTTTCAGAAATGACGATGTTCCTTGCCATGGTAAGTACAAGTCATTTGTATTTTTAAGTACATTAAATAGTGTTGGTGTTGATTTTAAATTGGTCTTTCTTAATGTTGTGTCTGTCTGTGAAAAAGTTTAAGTGTCAGATACTGACAACTTAAAACAACCTGAAAACTGCAGATACCCTGTAGGCATAGCATTGTAATCTATTAAATGGTCAGGCAGATAAAGTTGTGCGCATGTAACGCTGCTATTTGTAATGGTTACCAAGTGAGATGAAGATCTTGCTATGTTTAGTTTTCATTTTGTTTGTTAAGGGTCTTGTCTGTTTTTCAGTTATTTATTGTATGTCACTGTTAGTGTTAAGAATTAAATTCTTAATCTGGTAGGAAGATGAAACTTCTATGATATATTTTGTGGTTACATTTCTATGATTTGGTTCTCGTGGAACATTGTGGTTTATGCAAGGTGAACTAAACAGAAACTCCGTTGTGGAGCTGAAGACAAACGAGCTTGCTGGTGGGATAGCACGTAAATATAAGTACCATGTAATAGCTCCATTACAAGAAGCCAAAGTAGTATGCACCGGGTATAGATCTTTTTTTTTATGACTGCAACAGCGAGCTCTGTTAATAGGAAGGGGGGTTAGTAGTGGCAGAGTAGCTACAAATATGGTTGTACATTTTATATTTCCTCAATTTAAGATGCTTTTTTTCATGTTTTAAAATTTCTGGAATTAGGACATCTTACATTTTATGATGTCTAAGAACCAGTATAAGTATTTTTTCCAGAAAACCTGTTACTGAATCAAGGTTGTCTTAAAATCGAGGAAATGCCGTATTAATCTTTCATTACTGTAAAAAACAGTGCTATTTATTACTCAGGATGTTTACCACTGTTCCATTATACTTTTGAATGTAAGTGAGTTATCTTTATTTAAAAATTATTCGTTTTATTAAAACTTTAGAAAAGCTGCATACTATTGATTATATCTACATGCTTGCTAGTATCTCCTTACTAAAATCTCAACTCAACCCAACCCGCTTCTCTCTCAGCTATCAGCAAACTAACCCATACACACCTTAAATGGTACTTTTCTGGGGTAGATGTGAACAAGTTTACAGTGCAGCGAAAACTCAAGAGCCACCATAAAGTTACAACTGTGTATGAGGACATACATTTTATACATATGTGACAACAAAGGTGTTCACGGCTTGATGACGCACTAGCGTCAGAACATGTTTGAAAGTATGCAAATATTAAGTTAGAATAAAATTGTGTTGACTGAAAATTAATTTAACTGTGTTACTAGGTGGCATGAAGAAGGTTATCTTATGCGCTTTCTTGTGTTTAGTTGGGGAAGGAATCAAATTATGAATTTAATGTGAAATCATTATTTTAGATTAGGGTAATTTATTTACAAACCCTGAAGGAATTCTTCATAGAAGTAGTTTTGAATTCACTGCCCTGAAACTATAACTTGATTATAATATTAATTTTTATTTTTGATAGGCTTTAGATATTTAGCCTTCTTAAATAAAATTGTTTGACATTTCATTACACTTTTTTTTACCAAAGCAGTAGAAATTTATTTTTACTGTTCCTCTTATTTAATGATGGTACCAAGATCAGTTATCCATCAACATCATCTTCTTTATTACCTACCACCCTCTTTCAGAGCATAGGGCCTCCTTTTGGAGGTTTCCTTGGTCTTTTAATGTGTGTTTGTGAGTAGTGAGTGACCAGCCTACTGACTGCACAATTTCTACTCAATCTGGATTTTGACTGACAGCTATCTAGTAGTGAATCAGGAGAGACTTGATTGAGAAATTGCAGCTGAATTTTGTTTATGAAACATCTCATATCATGATTGTAAGGTTCTTTTACATGCCGTAAATCTACGACATGGGACCGCCAGCTTTAATTCCTCTCCAAAGGAAGTTGTGCTACAGATTTCTATCACCCTTAGAAATCTGTTGTCTTTGGTCGGGTTTGAACCTGCGAACCTTGGGTCCAGTGGTGAGCACGCTAACCAGTAGTCCACTGAGAGTGACTATACATCAACATAAAAGATGCAATAACTAATGGGAATGTTTTGGCCAGTGTGGCTTTAATCTCAACTGTTGTTCCTATTTAAGATTGTAATTGCATTTTCAGGTTCATTTCTAAATTGCACGTTATGGGTTTTTTAATACTTCTCATAGCTCAGGTAATGGGGAGTAATGTATACTTGATGAAAAATGCAGAAGAAATCTTATTTTAAAATATAAATGTTTTTATTTGTTTCAGTACCTGGGTGAACTGTCACTTCTAGAAGCAGATCCATATTTACAATATGTTCCATCTGAATTGGCAGCTGCGTGCATAGCGCTTGCACGACACACACTAGATCAAGAAGCGTGGCCCGAAGATTTAGAAAAGTCAACTAAATACAAGTTTGAGGATTTAAAATCTTGTATTTCTCATTTGAATCAGACCTATTCAAATGCGAGTGTGCATCCTCAGCAAGCAATCAGGGAAAAATACAAGGCTAATAGGTGACCAAATTTGCATCCACATACATTAGATAATACTTATCTAGTTCAGTTTCTTTTTCAACAGGAACCTCCATTTTCTAACTTTGATGTGTGAAACAAGGGTTTTTAATTAACCGTATGATTTCATGGGAGTACCACATTCATTGAGAATGATGTACATTGTTTCTCTCGTGTCAGAATCGTACGTTTTTTGAAAGTATAGGATGATCAAAAATCAAGCAACCCATAATAAAATATTTGATGGTTGCAATTTATTACAGTTTGCTTGGATTAATAAACACAAGAGTATCACTGTGAATATGCAAGAGCCAACGCAGGTCATATGTTCAAGCTGTTCAGTCCAGTCCGTCAGTTGTCTTTCAGCAGTTGAAGTGCAAGGATGTCTTTTTCACAAGTACAACTAGCATCCATCGTTGAACACTATCTGAATATTTGCGACACTTTATATAACATTGTTCTTTATTTTCTGATTAAACTGTAATGTATTTTTTGACAAATAGAACCTGTCGGGAATGGGTTGTCTGACTTTTCGATTATCTTCTACATAAATAGTTGATGAGCTTTTCCTTGTTCCGTAGTGATTTATCCACATAAATGATAAAATACTATTATACAATTTTATTTGTTCCAGGTGGCATAATGTTTCGTTAATGACTCCACGTACACCAGCATTATGCTGACTGCAACCATTGCATCGTTGCACACTAATAGGAATTACGTAGTAAGACGCCGTGGTTTGGAGGAGAGAAATTGTCTGCTACATTACAATCGGTAGAGTATAACACTTGTGATTGTCACCTGAAGCAACTGAGTTTTTTTTAATATCTTTTCTTGACTGACATCTTGTACACATGTTCCAATGAGATTGATACATGCAAGAGTTATTTTTTTGTCTTATATTGTATGTATGTATGTATAGTCGGATCATTTTTAATATGAATATTAAGACAGCAAAGAAGTTTTAGAAAAGTGAGTATTAGAATTTTGAAATGTGTAGTTATTAACTTTGCCTTGGCAGTTGTATTTTGGAAGCTGTTGGATTTGTTAAAATTTCGCTGTATTCTGTTGTTGGACAAATTTTTGAATGTTTTGTTAGGAATTCACCTAAAGACACATTTCACATTCTAAAATGTAACACGAGTGAGTTTTACGTAGGTTGCGTGTTACCTCTTCAACATGTTTTTAGCATATGTGAGGAAATACGTAAGTAACACTAGAATAATCACTTCCAGAAATATTTGGTTTCAGTTTTTACAGGAGTTAGGAATAATGGAAAACCATACAGCATCTTTTTATTGTGATGAAACCTAGTTTTAAAGAAAATATAAAATGAACCAGCACTGAATTAGGTAAAACAGCTGATAGTGTACTTTCATTGTATGTCACACTGGCTTGTTTGCATGCAAGTCTTACAAATTTAAATGTTATAAACTTAACAAATTGAACTTGTCATCAGCATAATTCAGTCCTGCCAGCATAAGAAGGGCTAAATTTCCACAATTTGTTTAGCACGTGTGTGTGTGTATATATACCAGGTGATTCAAAAAGGACTTTACAACTTTGAAAGTGTATAGAAATTTATTCAGAAGGCTTAACAGAATCGGTTGAGGTGTCATTTTGTAGCAAAACAAATCAAGTTTGACTCATGTTGTGCTGTAGTACCGAATTCCGTCACCGCGAGCGCAAGCGGCAGTGCATTTGAAAATGGTTTGAAAATTTTCTCATACCACAGTTAGACGAAGATGACCAAAAAGGACGCATTTACTTCCAGCAAGACGGCACACCACCTCACTACCTTACAGAAGTCCGGGATTTCCTCAATAACCGTTTCCCAGGTCGGTGGATTGGTCGAACAGGGTCGATAGCATGGCCACCTCGTTCTCCAGATTTGACATCTCGATTTTTTCTTATGGGGTTTCATTAAAGATCGTGTGTATGTTCCACCCTTACCTGCCAAACTCACTGAGCTCAAAGCTCGAATCACTGCCGCAGTTGCAGAAGTGACACCGGATATGCTGGATCGTGTTTGGTAAGAAATTGATTTCAGGTGGGATGGCTGCAGTATCACCAATGGCAATCACATCGAACCAACTGTTTGAGGTAAAACTTGATTTGTTCTGCTACAAAATGACACCTCAACCGATTCTGTAAGCCTTCTGAATAAATTTCTATACACTTTCAAAGTTGTAAAGTCATTTTTGAATCACCCTGTATATTTAACTTTTATAAATATTTTGAAATTGTCCAATTTTATGATTGTTCTAGTGGATTTTTTGACGTAAATACGTCTATAAGGAAGGGTCATTCCGCAAAAATGTGTTACGAAAAAGGGAAACGAAAAAGTGTAACTTCAATGTTATGTTACCTAGGAAACGTCATCTGTTTATGAACAAATTAACAACAATGGTTACCTACATAGTAACATTACCTTACCTTACATTACAATACCTTACCTTACCTTACCTTACCTTAC